TATACGTCATTTGTTTAGTAAGTTTTTCTTTGTATCTTTTTCTAGAATTGATTTCAAGGGAGAGATTTCATACTTTGGGTAGGCTCTTTGCATGTGAGGGGGTAAAGTTGAATCTTTATTAGTCTATGTGTGTGATGGTAAGTTTAAATTGTTGATTAAAGTATTTTATGCACATGCTTAGTCCTCCAGTAGTGAGGTTGGAAGTTTACACTCGATTAAGCTTTTAGTGTTCATGTTTAGTCTTATGTGTAAGAAATGTAGTATAACAATTTTTGAACAAATTTAGTACAATTTTGAGATTATGAAAAAGTTGCATTTATGAATAATAGTTGGACAAACAATTTGTCGCTGGGAAAAATTAATCTAATAGAAAGCATGTGCAATTTATTTTTAGACAAGTAATTTTTCATTGGACAAAATTCACTTAATTGAAAAGCTGCGAGATTTAGTTACTGAGCGAACATGTTTGGTTAAGTAAACATAATGGTGATCAAACAAATTTATATATATGCTTAATTCACTGCATGAACAAATTAGTGGTAAAGTGAAATAATGTTTTCTAAACTTTGAAAAACATGTGTTTAAATGTTTATACATTTTATCAACATATATAAGGTTATAAATCTTGATTATTGGAGATATTATATTGTTTAGAAGTATGATGAATAATATATATATATATATATATGCATGCAAAATTCATCTTACTAAATTAATTTCGCAAGGTTAAGTTAAATGTAAATTTTATTATTATTTGGAAGATGAGAAATCATAATAGATTTGAAGATTAAATTGTGTTTCCTTCTATTATTTGTCAAATTAAGGAGTTAGTGTGTATCATTGAAAGTAAATCTAAAGAGTAGGGTAGGATGATTTCGTTTATGGATGTAATATGATAAGTTCAATCCACTAATTGACTTAGGATGAATAATGATAGTACAACTAGGGGTTCTCCTAGTTGAGCTTCACTGTTTGTTTTTTTAGAGGAAGTTGGGGGAATATGTGGGTAGTTTGTCTCTTTAGTGGTACAAACTTCTATTTATGTTTAGTTTATGTGGGTCATTTATGCTTTGTAGCATGCTTGGAGGGAGAACTTTTAAAGGTTTTGGTTAAGAAGTGATTCTTTGGTAGTTTGTCATGGTTTTTTATATCAACGAGTGGTTCCTTAAAGTCTTAGAGGGAGATAACATCGACACTTGCATTTTTGTAAGTATATACAATTCAAAGTTTTTTATGTTTTTCATGAGGGAAATCATTGTGCTGATAAGTTAGTTATTTTAGCTTTGATTCATAGAAGATAATATAAGTGGTTTAATGTTGTACCTCCATATGTTTATTTATATTTTTTTTCATTATAGGTATAGTTTGCCTATGTTCGTGAGATAGATATAACTTTTCATGTATTTGATGTTTTCTCCATGTATTCTTACACAAAACCTGCATACAAGTTTTACCCTACATGATGTTAGATAAATTTCAACAAAAATCAACATGATAAGTAATATAAACGAATATGAAAACAAAGTCTAAAATAAAGAAAATAAGTCAACAATATTTTTAACTTGATCATAAATCAAATTTAGGGGTGGCAATGCGAGTCGGTCTAGTTCGTTTAAGTCTAATCCTCTTTTGAAAAAATGGGTTAAATGTCATGTCTTGCACTACGTATGTCTAGGCTTGTAGGCTCATGGGTTGACCCACATTTTTTTATTGGTATAAATCACAAATCCAAATTTTCAAGACTTAGCCAACAACCACACAACCTTCATCTTTATTACATAGTCATCGCTAGAGCAACAACAATTCTCCCTATACCTCGTCGGGAGCAACCACATGCAATCAGAGTTTGCACCATGACGTAGATTTTGAAAACACATTTGTTCACTTTGTCCACCGCACACTTCACCAAAAGTAGATTTTGTGACTTCATGCAAAAAATCGTTATGGCACCGGACCTTAATCGCACTACGCGCGTACCGCACCACTCGTTGGACCATATTGTGCTCTACCATGCAGATCAACCATCAACCATTTTACCCCCAAAGCAACCATCCAAGCATCTCGCCTAAAACAACACCAGTCATCACAGATAAAAAAACGCTACAACATTGTTGATCGACGCTCAATGGAGTAGATTGCACCACTAGAAGGGTGGTGCCATTGGCTAGGGACATAGTGTTGAGAGGAGCGTCGTCACTTCTGCCTAGGTCAATGAAGGGTATCCTCTTCCGTCATCGCTGAGCATCGTTGCTGCCTGCTTGAGATTTTTGGTTGTTTGGTGGATGGTTAAAACTAGAGATGGGAAAAATGAATTGAACCTCATTGAACTGTTAAAAAAATTGCACATGACCAAAAAATAGTTCGCTTGAAGTGAACTAAACTGAAAGTTATTTCAGATGAACTAAATTAAATTATTTTTTGTTCTAACAAACTTAATTGAACTAAGTTATTATTTAAAAGCCTTGAATAAAAAGAAAGATTAGTAAGTAGATCAGAAAATATTTTCTTTACTCAAGACATAGGTTCCTCCATAAATAGCAAAATTAAGAAGTTGAGATGATTCAGGTTGGGCCAAAGGTTGGGAAAAAATGTCGAAATGGGTTGAGACTGAAATTAGGCCGAGTTCAATCGAGACGACCATATTTGAAACCCGGCCGAGTCAGCCCCAACATCAAAATTAACTAAATTATTCTCGGAAGGCCACAAATGAAACCTTATCGAGTTGGCCTAGATAAAAAATCGACCAATTAAACGACAACGACCAAAACTTGGTTGAGTTGGTCTTTGACCAAAAACTGACCGAATTTGACAGAATTGGGCCTTGCCAAAAATGGCCGAATTTGGCTAGGAAGGCCACAACCGAAACTTAGTTGAGTTGGTCTCGATAAAAATTGGTCAAATTTGACCGCATCGGCCTTGGTTGAAAATCAATGAAATCCAGCTAGAACGACCACGAATGGTCGAGATGATCTTAACCGGAAATCAATCGAATTCAATCGAGTCAACCCCGACTGAAAATGGATTGAATTTGACCGAGTCGATCTCAACTAAAGTTTGGTCAAGTCGATAATAGCAAAACTAAACTAAAACTTTAAAAACTCTCAAAAAAGTAAAAAGTATGAAACAAATTAGTTTTAAGTTAATGACTAATTAAGTTAATAAGTAGTTGAGTAAACTGTAATTTTAGAGATTCACTTTTCTAAAACTTAACTATAAAATGGACAATGCAAATTTTATTGTAAACAATTTAATTTTTTTTTTTCAATATAATGCAATTATTTGATATAATTCAGTTCAATTAATTTTCTACCCCTGTAACTATTGTTGATAGTTGTATTGTTGTTGGAGAAAAAGCTGCTAAATCTTCTTTTGTTACCATAAGCTAGGTGGTGGTGGGTGTGGTGTGTAGCAGGAGAAAAAGGAAAGAAGCTTATGTTGTACTATTTATTCACTATCATTATTCTAGTAAATTAAAGTAAAGGATTTTAAAAACGGGTCAACAGATGACCCGTCTCGTCCCTTCTGGGCCCACACGGGCTACAAGTTTATGAGCCGGACTTCAATGGATCAACAAGCTTAAAACATCAGGGGTGTTGCTCCCTCCACCACCACACCTTTCTTCCTCCACCTTCCATTTACTATTTTACCTCTAAGAAAAATTTTATTTTTAGGGTTATTACTTTTTAATTTTACCCATTCACAACCTATTCCACTAATAACTTATTCTAGTCCCCCGTACATGAGTAAAATACTTTTATTTCATTTTAACATTATATTTTTTCATCTTTTTCTTTCGTCGATACTACAAGTTGCAAAGGTTGGTAGTGTTGGAAAGAATTATCAAGCAGTCTCTCTCTCGTGGTGCAGTGTCGCTCTCGTGATGCAGTGTGTGGAGTGATGCAGTGTGTATTGCTTCCTCCAGGTGCGTTTTCGAATAAACCTTTAAATAAAACCCTAAAATAAAAAACGTAACCTTTAAACGGAGGTGACATCCTTCAACGGATGTCAACATCCGTTTAAGGAAAAACGGATTCCGTTTTACCTTAAACGGATGTTGACATCCATTGAAGGATGTCATCTCCGTTTAAAGATTACGTTTTTTATTTTAGGGTTTGTTTTATTAGTTTATTCTTTATTTTGAAAATATTTTAATAATTTAATTTAAATGTTTTGATTTATTATTTTTGAATATATTTTTAATGTATTTTAATAATGTAAGGAAAATGAAGAAGAAAGAAACGAAGGAGGAGAAGTAAAATAGAGAAGACAAATGGGATTGCAGAGTAAAACGGAAAACAAATTGTTAAACGAAAATGAGAGATGAAAATATTGGGTGCAGGGAGTAAAGTAGGATAACTAGGTTTGAAATAAATTAAAATAATAAAAACAAAAAATTTTAATCTGAAGATATAATTGAAATTAAAAAAAATTGGAGAGGTGAAGAGAGAAAGGTGTGGTAGTGGAGGTAGCAACACCCAAACATCACTCTCTGCCGCGTTTTTTCCAGCGGACCTGCAAGACGATCAGCTTGGCCCACCACCCTAATCAAATTACACGAGAGTTACTAAACCCATAAATAATCATTAAAGCAATAAGTAAAAATTAATATTCCTGCCAATTCCATTCCCAAGACTAAAATTATAATTAATTTTTTTTATTTCTAACAAAAAATAAAATTTGTTTGCTAGTCAGAAATATAATTAGAGAAGATATTATACTATTATAATAATCATACATTCCTTAATACACTAACAATTTATTCAATCATTCACTAAAAATGAACCCTAATCCTATTTTAATGCCTTTTATTAAAAAAACAGTGTTACCATTATGTATCTGTATGCGTCACGGTAGTGTCTTTTTCACCCCGTATTTATCCACATGGGTCGGATATACACAGTGTGTCTTTTATTTGTTGAAAACACCGTTTAGTCAAGCAAGAAGCATGCACACAATAACGCGCTAGTTCTACACGGACTTACTTTGGTAGATAGCATGGTTCTATAACGTAACACAACGTAGCACGCCACTCACGTTTTTGTTCTGTCCATTGGTTTCGTGGAACCCTATAAAATGTTTTCACTACGTTAGGTGGTGTTGCCCTTCCACGACCTTCTCACCCTTCTTTATTAGTTCCTATAAACCATCTTTTCCTTTTCCATTTCCTCTTTATTTTCTCTCTGTAGCATCCATTTTTGTTCCCTGTCTTATACTAAATTTCTACATTATATATAATATTGTTGTTACTGTCATAAAATATACACATACCCTCTATTCTCCAACAACCTACCCAGGAGGAAGATGAACGTGGATCTGGAGTCATTAGCAGAGGCCACTTCTGGGGCCATAGGGTCACTCATCAGCACCACTATTCTCTACCCACTTGACACCTGCAAGACCAAGTACCAAGCCGATGCTCGTTCCCATGGTCGCACAAGATACAGGTTCTTTTATGCCTACCCTTTTTCTTTTTCTATTCTCTTCTTATTGTTAATTGAATTTCAATTTCTTCATGTTCCTGCTCACCCCTTCTTCATGGGGTGATCATAAATGGTTTCTCTGTGTTCCCCCCAGAATTGGGTGTTCTGGATCGGGACTTTGTCTTGTAGTGTTGTGTTCGGGAGATGGTGATCAACGATGAAAGATGTAATTTCTTAGCTTGGGTTTATTTTGAAGACAAAACTTTTGATGCTGATCTTCAATTAGAATAGAAATTTCACCTTGGGAAATTTGCGTAGTAAAAGGTTCTATTAAATGTGAATATACTCATGTTGAGGAGATGGTGATCAAAGACATGCGTAATTTCCCTGCCCTTTTCAAGTATTTGCTTTGGAGTCTGGATAAATTATCGTTGATCTTGAAAGATGTATTCTTTTTAGCTTGGGGGTATTGTAATTCTAGTTTTCTCTGTCTGGTTGCGCTTCTCAATTCTTTGGGATGGACTTTCCAAGGTATCCGGATCACCCAACAATGATTATTTACTGTTTGAGATTTGAAGATTCTAGAATGTATAAACCCCCTAAGTAGGATTAATTGGCCATTTTTGCTTACTGTTTTCAAAATTAGTATTGAATGAACGGAACGGAGGCACTGGTTGTCGGTGGCTGATTGACTAATCTCAGTCTCTGCGGTATTTGATGGGTAAGAGAAGCACAGAAAAGATAAAATACTATTGAAAAACTTATACCCTATTATAAGAGAAAACAGCAAGAAACCAAATAACACCTTTTGTGATTGAAAAATGCACTATGTTTGAAATATAAGGGGAGTCTCTTTATAGCAGCAGGAAGGAGCTAATAACAAACTTATATATCTGCAATAACTAACTAAAACGCCTATCTACAGCCAAACAAAAATAACAGAATCTAAACAGCTTGTGTTTCTTCATCTTTTAACTCCAATAAATAGCTTTCTGTTTTTTAAAATTTGTTTGTCTTTAATAACATCTGAAAGAGCTTGTCCCTTGAACTCATTTCTGATGTTTAAAACTTGTTCCCTGTGTATTGGACTAATTAGACCCTTTAGCTTTCAATTATGAATACTGGAAGTCTTATTCGAACCTATCAAGTCGTTTAGTCTGCTTAATAGTTTAATTTTTCATTTTGAGACTCTTACATTTTATCTTTCTTTAAAGGAATTAAACAGGGAACTGTTATGCATTCTTATTTTACAAATGATAAAACTATTCTGCATGTAGTGTATCAAATTGCATTTGCATCAAAGTATCATTTTGTAACATTGGAATTTCTTGGGTTGAGTGTGCAGGTTGAGTGGGGGATTGATCTTAGCTCTTGGCCATTGTGTGTCAAAATTAGCCAAGAGAATGTATCTCTTGGGTATGTATACTTACTTTCATTATAATTGTCTTTACATTTGCAGGAATCTCACTGATGTATTATTGGAGGCAATATCTAACGGTCAGGTGCTTTCACTTTACCAGGGCCTTGGAACAAAGAATCTTCAATCCTTCATTTCGCAGTTTGTCTACTTCTATGGATACAGTTATTTTAAAAGACTATATCTAGATAAAAGTGGTTATAAATCCATTGGAACGAAAGCAAACTTAGTTATTGCTGCTGCAGCTGGGGCTTGCACTGCCATTGCGACTCAGGTGAGGCAGCACTAGCTTTTCCTAGTTTAACTGTGTATTTAAAAATCAAAATCACTTCTATGGTTTTTGGAGCAGGACACTATAGTACCAAATTTTCATTATCTTCATGACAAAATTTTGATTGAAGTCTTTTATGGCTATGTCTTGTTGCTTGAGGGTATTTTTGATGATTCTTAGTTTGAACACGGAACAAGAATGAGAGAATGTAGTGCATCTCTGGAATAAAACATATTTGATCAAACTATACATAAAAATCTAATTAAGTTTTCAATGCTTAACCTACTACAATTGTTGGTTAATCATCCACAGTTAACTATGGACTGGCTAATAAATCATAGATGTCTATTTTGTTACTATCTGCCTATATAAAACTTAATTTTATTACTAAGCATACCTCATTGATTACTTCTAGCCCCTGGACACAGCCTCCTCTAGGATGCAGACAAGTGCATTTGGAAAGTCTAAAGGGCTACTGAAAACCCTTACCGAAGGAACTTGGAGTGACGCATTTGATGGCCTCAGTATTTCCTTGCTGTTGACATCAAACCCTGCAATTCAGGTAGGTCAAGCTGCAGTTTGTGCCATCTGGAATTCTGTATCATGTTTGTATGCTTAATATATAAAGTTATATTTGGCATGCTTGGTCAGAGACCAAAAGATTTTAATTTGAAACTACCTTGTGCTACAGTATACCGTGTTTGATCAGCTGAAACAGCGAGCACTGAAGAATAAACAAAGTAAAGCTGAAAAAGGATCATCTCCTGAATCCCTTTCTGCATTTATGGCCTTTCTTTTAGGTGCAATTTCAAAGAGCATTGCTACATGTCTTACATATCCAGCTATCAGGTATTTAGTTGTAACTTCCAACTGGTTTTTTATTTCTGGACTTAGTTTATAGGGGGCACTTCTAATATCTCTTTCTGCTTATAGGTGCAAAGTCATCATTCAAGCTGCTGACTCAGATGAAGCAAACTCCAAAAATAAGATAAAATCACAGAAAACAGTGTCTAGTGTTCTCTATGGAATATGGAAAAGGGAGGGGATAGTGGGATATTTTAAAGGATTGGAAGCTCAGATCTTAAAAACTGTTTTGAGCTCAGCACTTCTCTTAATGATCAAGGAGAAGATCTCAGCTACTACTTGGGTGCTTATCCTTGCACTTAAAAGGTACCTATTACTTCCAGCAAAAAGAGTTAAGAACTTGTAAGTTATGATAGCAGTTACCGGAGGAAGAAGCTTCAATTCCTTGTGGATAATGAATCTAGTTGGAGTGCAAAGAGTGCATTTTAGCAGATACATATACTCTTCAGAGTTGAGACAAGGTGGTTTTGGTGGCATCTCTTTGTTCCACCTCCCTTGGTTAATTGATATAGAACAACTAGTTCAGGAATTTATGCAAAAGACTGATAGAGCAAAGCAAATTAGAAAGTCTGACAATAAACGGTGTTTTTAGTTTTTTTCTTGGGTTGCATTTGTTGTTTCAAATAAAGGCTTGAATTACTTTGTTTTTGTAGTTGGTTCTTTTTAGGACATCACCGGGATTAACTCAAATGACTGAAAAATGTAAAACCAGAGTAATTGTGTCACATTATTTTTAAACAATCCACAATCAGTTTTGTCCCAATAGATTTTTTTTAAAGAAATTCAAAACAAATTATTATTTTATATAGACTTGATGATGATGCATAATAATATGTATTAATATAAATTAGTTATTTTATTATGAAAACGTTAATTAATTATTCTTTGTCGGAAGTTAACTAATTCAATAATTGATAATTTATTATAATATTTTAATTTACAATTANTACATGAACATCTCTAATTTTTTTTACCACAGCATTATTTACTTTTGTATTATATATAATCATAACAATAAACAAATGGACAGAAGTATAATAATTTATTTAAACATTATTTAAACAATTGCACACAACTTTATATTATAATCTACATATTCTTATCACTATTTATGCTCTATCCACAACGTGGTGCATGCCTTCCTCCATGTCGTCATTCGAAAAACCCTTGACGCCTTTATGAGTCGTGGTTACCTCTATCCTATCATTGAGTCATGTCTCTCTCTTTATTGTATTAATAGTTGGTTAGTTCATGAGTATGCTGTTTCTCATCATCATTTTAGTGTTGTATTTCTTATGTTTTATACATGAGAAAAAATACAAAATTATTTTTATAATGTAATGCATATATTATCACGTATATTAAGAAAAGAGTGACATACCTAAATTAAGTAAATTAAAAATAGTGATACATGTTATAAAATAAGAATAAATAAAGATATAGTTATATATATACTAATAATAGAAAGACATATACTAAGTTAAATAAAATGTGTAATTTTAAATTTTAAAACATAACACGATATATCTTAATTAACAAGCTCAACTTTAATTTTAAAACTTTAAAAAATTACACATTTAAAATTGCACATTTAACAAGCTCAACTTTAATCATCCTAATTTAGCCTATATATCTAAATGCTTCAAATGTAAAATCATAACACGATAACATGTGAGATTATTTTATTTTGATTGTTACCACTAATTGATAACTTTTGGGGTTATAATTATTGTGTTATTATTTCTTTAAATTTTCTTGCTTATTGAATAACCTCTAGGGTTTTGATTAATTTTTGGGATACCCATGGCATAAAACTATTAAATTAAATTAGTACATAACTAAATAAAATAAAAAAAATCAGTACATAACTAAAATTAAATTAAATAATAAATAAAATTCTATGACTAAAAAAAAAGAAAACTAAACATGCATAAGTTTATTAGGATAAATTAATATAAAAAATTGAATCTCACTTCAGTTATGTTGTCAAGCTCAAAAACGTATATAAGTTGCAATGTTTAAATAACACATAGAGAGAAATTAAGAAAAAAAAAAGGAGATATAAGAAAGGACAATTTGCAAAGACAATAGGATGGGGTAGGATATTTTTAGACCATATTGTAAAATTAATCTTAATTAACACTTTTAAATATAAACTTACACTTATTTTAACTACACAAAAACACAATTTCTTACATTTGGTGTGCTCGTTCTAGAAATTAATTTGAATGAAAATTCATGAGTTTTCATTCAAGTGTTTGGGGAAATTGTAGTCCATGCTAAGGAATAAAAAATTGGGAATAATTCGAGAAGTAGGACGAATTGAAAATCATCACCACTATAAAAAAAAAAGAAGAAAAAAGATTATGCCAATGTAAAGGAACTTATTGTTCTTTGGAAAAGTCTCATTCGATTTATTAGGAATAGTGTAAAGTAAACTTAGATGGGATTCAGTATCGTGGAAATTGCAGTCTAGACTCTATTTTTTCAACGAATTTAAAACAAAATCTAGACAAGATCCGTTCTTTGAGGTTTTTAATAAAATTAAAAATGTATGACAATGTTATTTGTCTTTTTTGTAGAAATTTCATATAAAACATATGTTATGCTCGTAAATAATTTTAAATGGAACTTTTTTTTTAATTTTTCTTTCAAGTACTAAAATAATGAAAAATAAAATAAAGTAATTAGCGTGTTCTTTTATTAAAAGAATTACAATTATCAAAGTAAAATTCTCGTAGACCTCTCTTTTCACATTATCGTTAATAAAAGAAATTTTACTTTGAATGTTACGTTGTAGGTTAGTCCCATTTTCTATTAGTTTGTTATTAAAAAGAAAAGAAACTAGTTGATCAATAAAATTGAAAAGAAACAAATTAATGGATAAGTTGGAAAAAGAAAAATAAAAAATAAGAATCATATTATTTTGTTAACAAGAAAATTCAAATATAAAATACTTAAACAAAGTAAAATACCTTTTCAGCGCTTAATAAATCAAATTTCTTTAATAAAAATTGAATTCAAAAGACACCCATCTACCATATTAAAAAAATAATTAATTTAAGAGAATTATCGATTTCCTTGCACGGAGTCCATTATTGTATTGCGTTGATGGTTTTCAAACAGTAGAATATTCGCATCAAAGACACAGATTTAAGGATGCAAAACAAGTAGAAAGTCCAAATTGAAAAAAACAGAGTGTCTTTTGGTACGATTTCTTGGTGTAGTACTAAGTATATTAGATGATGACAAAACACACCACACAGAAACACACATAGTTTTGTTGTTTGGGATAAAAACCAGAGAGAGGATTCGATTAGAAAATATACATTAAAGTAATTTGACTGTTTGTTTTTTATCTACTTTCCTCAAAAGAACCTCCCAATTAGACATTATACGAGACATGTGAAGAGGAAAACCAAGTACGATAATGAGGCCTACCATAAGTTAAGGATAAAGGCAAAGAAATGAATTGGTTGCAAGCTACAAACTTTTGGGTTGCTTAAGGGGGTCCCTCCATCATACGCTATTATTAAGTAACAAACAACATCTTGTAGTTTAAGATCGGTCAACATAATAATTTTTGTTGTTGTTGTATGTTATAAATTTATCATATTGTTAATTAATACCTAAATGTCAACTGTCTATAAATGATTTATTATCCATTATCTACTAATAATAAATATATATAAATATCAACCGTCTATAACGTATTTTGAATATTAACGTAAACAAATCTAAAACTTTGAATTTGTAAGTTTGTTATCTTATATATTACTCAAGTTTTTTATATTTTGTTTAAACTGTCATTTAAATTTGTAAAACAAGATATCAAAATATAAATGAAGTAGATTTCAGTTTAAAAAGTGGGTTTTATAGATTAATGGAAAGAAATAGGTGTTGTTGGAAGGGACATGATGACAGAATGAAAGAGTTGTCTTCACAGTTCACACTTGTCCCACCTCACATGACCCATTTTTTTTCTCTTTTCTCTCTCTATAACGACCAATGCTAACTTCATTTCCTGTCAGCATCTCTGTTTCTCTTTAACAAAACATTCATACAGGGAGTTAATAGTTATACCAAATCATTATTTGGTTTTACAAAATCATACTCTTAATTAATACCTAAATGTCAACAAATTAGTCCTTATATTATGTCAATTTTATTCCTTAACAAAAGAAACCAATCAATCTTTTTTATTCTTCATTTAATACAAAAATATATTTTTTGTTTAAGTTTCAAAGTTTGAAAGGAGATGACAACTTAGTCAAAAACAATAAAAAAAACAGTGAAAATCGTTATAAGTTTTAAAAAATATAAACTTAAAAGATCTACACTTTTATTCCTTTGTTTATTAAAATAATTCTAAAATAAGAATGAACTTATTGGGATATTATTACATTGATTCTGATTTCTTTACAATGTATTTGAATAATATATTTTAATAAATTTAAAAAATTAAAATATATGATATTTGAATTATTTACAATTATTTTTTTAATTTATTAAATAATTTGTTTGGATTAAATACTTTTTATTTTTTTAAAATTAAACTAATTAATTTAT